ACGATCTTAGATTGTATCTCTTTTCCTCCCTTTTGCTAATGAGTTCATGTAGATATACCGGAGCTTGTCCATGGATCGCTTTAAAAGCAATTATAATAATCTTAAAATGAATCCTAAATTCTACTGGAAGCCAATGAAGCATACACAGAATTGGTGAGATGTGATAAAACCTTGGAATCTTAAAAATAAGTCTCGCTGCGGAATTCTGGAGCCTTTGTAACTTTGCAATTTGTTTAGCTGGTAACCCATACAGAATACTATTACAATAGTCAATGCACCAAATTATTAGGGTATGAACAAGTGTCTGGGTTGCTTGGTTACTTAAATACTTTCTTATTCGTCTTACATTTGTAATGTAGTAATAGGCTGCTTTACACGTGTTATTGATATTAACTTGAAGACTCATGTTACTATCTATCCATGTCCCTAAGTTCTTGACCGACTGAACAGGCGACACTTGAGCATCCCCTACTGCAAGCGAGTCAAAATGAACCTTAGATAGTTGCTGACGGGTGCCTATTACTACAAACTCTGTTTTGCCATCATTGATCTTCAATTTGTCACACAGCATCCAGGCTCTTATCTCATTTACACACCGTTCCATAGCAGCAATGGCATCATCAGTACTTGAGGCACAGCCAGGTTTAAACGCTAAGTATAACTGCGTATCGTCTGCATAAGCATAAACGCCAGGCAGGTGTCTCTTGACAACTTCAAACAGTTTACTGGCATATAGAGTAAATAGTAACGGCCCTAAACATGACACTTGAGGAACTCCTTGATTTAACTGTAGAGATTCCGAACACTTGCCTTAGTGAGACACGCTGAGAACGTCCCGATAGGTATGACGCAAACCACTCCAGTGCTGTACCTCGGATCCCAAAACTTGTGCTCAGACGAGATAGTAACACAGAATGTTCCACCGTATCGAAGGCAGCACTCAGATCCAACAACACAAGCAGAACAACTTCCTGACGATTCATTGCCATTAATATATCATTATATATCTTGAGTAAGGCTGTTTCTGTGCTGTGACCTCGTCTATACGCAGATTGCAACAAGGAGTAGAGGTCATGTTCAGAAAGGTGTGCATGTACCTGGTCAAATACTGCACGCTCTACCAATTTCGACACATACTGCAGGTTACTAACTGGACGAAGATTAGTGAAGTCATTAATTCCAGCTTTTTTGTAGCGAGGATCAATAAGGGCTTCCTTCCATACCTTCGGAAAGTGTCCCCCAGGTAGCGATAAATTGATAATCTTAGTAATAACAGGTAACAGATGATCAAGTGATTCTACTACAAGTTTAGTCGGCATGGGGTCTAGATTACACGTTTCCTTTGATGACTTCTGAATAAGTACCGAAATGTCAGCTTCAGAGAGGGGCTTGAACTCCGACAGTATCTTTGCATCACTGACTATAGGGTCATCAGACCTGCGGTCTTTTTCTTGACTTTTCAAAGGAATTTGACACAATTAACCACGATATTCTGTTATCGAAACTCTATAGATATGGTATATGTGGAAATTCTCTCAGCTGGTTTGAAAACTACTTATACAATCGTAATCAGGTTGTCAAAATTGGTGACACTATATCTAGCAGTCAGACCATTATCTGTGGTATACCTCAAGGATCAACTTTAGGTCCATTATTATTTCTGCTTTATATTAATGATTTTTCAAACTGTTCAAGCAAACTATCCTTCCGAATCTTTGCTGATGACACTAATATGTTATACAAGTAATAATCTGCATAACCTTGAGTCCGTCGTGAATGAAGAATTTAAGTCAGTTGTTGAGTACTGTGCCATTAACAAATTATCTATAAACTTTTCAAAGACAAATTTTTACTTCCTAATCTCATCGTCAAGGTTAAGAGGAAATATAAATGTAAAAAACATCACAATCAAAAGCCAAATAAAGTACCTGGGTGTGTATAAAGATCAACACTTACACTGGGGACCTCAGATTAAGGTATCATCCAGGGTAAAAATCATCATTTTTTTAAATTTGCAATTTTTAGACGATTAAATACAGCCCATCAAGAGCTTTCTTTTGAAAAAAATTCCAGGAAAAAATGTTTTTTTCTGTGTAGACTTATGGAGTGCAAAAGTTTTTTCTATGCTAATTATTTTAATTGATCGTTGACAAGTCCTGTCATAATTGATACGTGTGCCGCTGTTGAACCAAGCTAATCACGCAATTTGACAGAAATCGTGGTTTACAAGTATAGTGCTCACTGTTTTTCACTGTACTAGACTCAAAGACAAAAGAAGACGACAAAATCGTTTTCCCGTCAAAGAGTGGGCTTCGAAATTAGCAGAGAGCGACAAGGGCTCCTACTACAATCAAGAAAAATGGCTAAAAGATGACAAAGCTCCTGAAAAACCAATTGAAACTACTGCGGAATCGAGTTTCACGACATCGTTAGCGAGCGGAGCGAGCTTCTTAGGCCACGAAGCAGCCAAGCGAAAGACGAAGTCACGAGAAGTCCCGCGCCATATAAAAATCGGACGAAGTACTGTTTTGAAAGTCTATTGAGCGGGAAAGAAGCTTCAAGAAGAAAAACTCCAGGCAGCGGTTTGTTGTCGATTTTTCCAGGGACGTGTCGAACTTTTAAAAAATGTATCGAGTAAAAGTGGGCTTGGCTCAATTTGGCTTGTCCGGTGCGAAAATGAAAACTGCCCGTTAAAAATAACTAATGAAGCTTTCTTGACAACAGAACGGATCGAACAGAGCAGAGCCTTTGAAATAAATTTGTCATCTGTTGTAGGGTTTCTTTTTCAACTTTTCCTGCTGTGTCACTATTGATGTGCCTTCTCTGGTATGCATCAACGTTTGACAGCTTTGGTGTTATAATCTGTTATAATCTCGTCACGGGTAATACGCCGCCCAAAATCTTTTTCCGCTGTTTTCTCGAAATGAAAATCAGGGCAATTTGAGGGTACGTTTTAAGAGCGACGGACAGGAAATATCGACCATCGAGTGGCAAGAGTTGAAAAATCGATTGCCTGAAACTACTATGAGGTGAAATCGCATGTCAAGAGCGCTTCGTTTTCTACAGATAACGGCCAAACATCGAGGTTTTCAATTTTTTACTGTGTTTTTTACCATGAAAACTTCATCCCAAAATATCTCGATAACGTTCTTACAGATTTCGCTTAAGCTTTTTTTACGAACATCGAGGCCGCTATTGGAGGAAAAAGCTCCCGTAAACGATTTTAGAAGAATAGTTTCCAGTGCCGAGATATACTGCTGCAAGTAAAATAGGTAATAGCGACATTTCGTTGCTGTGAGACTCCAATGTCGTTGCAACCCTACTAATAACAAATTTTCATCTTTATCTAATTAATACAACTGTGGTGCAAAATTTTCTAAATCTTTGTTTATGGTGACGTAATTTATGCTCAAACTTGGGATGTATTGAACCTGAAAAACTGCATCGAGGCACCTTAAACCTTGTTTTGTTTTGATCTTTCATTTCTTCTAAAGAGTATGGTATTTAAATTATTGATGAAACGAAATAACTATCTACCAAAACAACTTCAAATCTTACTTATCGTATACGTACTGTAGGTGATACATAACTCCCAATAGATGATCAAAATCGTTGAATAACAGGGTCTGCGAGGTTACGTATAAAAATTCAGTCAATGAAAATTCGCTCTTCCGACGAGAAACATTTGTAGAATATTGTATTTATCGAAAGAGCTCTGCGGCGCTTATTGATTTTCTGTACTTAAAGATGCCAAGGTTATTTGAGGGCGGCGCTCTTTGGATTAAATTCAATGCAATTTTTTCGAAAGAGCGCCATGGCGCTTATTCTTTAGCTTCCTGGTGTTTGAATTCTCCTTATTTAATTTAAATTAAGGGCGGCGCGTTTTCGAGTATATACGGTTTGGATAGTATTTGACGGTTCTATTACATTTGTGGTCAATTTGTATTACATTTGTGCTCAATTATGTCATTTGTGGCTTCAACAGCGCTTCGTAGAGAAAGGGTCACATGGGAAAAGACACCGTGCTGGATGGCAAACGACGCAGTGGGTCAAGAAAAACAAAAAGAGTACATCATTCAAAAAGCTAATATCCTTTCTTTTCAAGGTCCCACTGCGTTGTTTGCCCTCCAGAAAGGTGCTTGAACCATGTGGCAGTTTCTCTGCAAAGGGCTGGCCATTGCACCATAACTTTTTTTCTTTTTATATTAGGAGCTTCTAAAACTAATGAACATTCCGTAAGCGTGTATGTTGTCCAATTGGATGCAAGAATTTAATCACGTTCAAAAGTATTTAGACCTAGTATAACTCCTCGATAATTCCTCTAACAGAAAATTTAGAAGAGTAACTTAAAATTCTTAGTATAAATAGCACTTATACTGCATTTGTTTAAACTGGCCTTTACAGAGATATAGAGTCGTTTTCAAATTACGAAAACGGTTGATGTCAAGCCAGAACAAAGAGCGAAGGACTCATATTTGCGACGTTTACACGTTCACAAGTTTTCATAGCCAAGGAAAACTTGCTCGGGTAGAATATAAAAATTTGCGCATGTTACCGGGACCTTGACGAGTTAAGGAAGTTTTGACATTGTCCCATTATTCATAACCAAGAAAAACTTTTCAGGAAAGACTTGGTGTATTAAGGCAATTTACTAGAGCAATTTTCCTTAACCTTGACAAAGTTCCCTTTCCTTGGTCGTGTAAATAGAACTCAAACCTACACTTTTAAGAGACCAGAGTTTTAGGAATATTGTGCAACTGACACGGTTTTTAGAAACATGAACCGCTCAGGAGTGAAAAGGGTAATTACGATTGCTGAAAAAAGTTCTATAATATGGATACCGGCCTTAAAAATAGAACTGAAGTCTGATCGATCATCTACGATTATTGAAGAATTCTTTCCATATACTCGCCGCAACCGCTGAACTTTTTTTTTCGGCAATCGTAAAGATGTTTAAATATGAAAACCAGTCTCACCTGCAGCCTTTACATTGATGTAGGTTTCTTCACAGCAACGCCATCAAACGCGTCGACGGAAACGCATTTGCTGGTCTTACGAATCTCAAATTAATGTAAGTTTAAAGAACTTTTAATTTGTGTTTTACAAAAAAAAAAAAATTGGCACTTTGATGCAATTCTATCACAGTTCCCCGCAAATCCATCACCAGCGAATACTTCATTATACGAATAACAGAGAGGATGACCGTAAATTAATTTTCTTTTCTTCACTGTCATTCGTATTTCTTATATATATTCTAACAAACAATCTTCTTTATAAAGTTTTCTCTATCCTTTTTTCAAATTATGTTGTTTATTATTTTTTATTTTTTCAATTGCCAAATTATCTCAATTGCATGAACTTTTATCATTGTTGGCCCATTCAGTTTTTGAACATTACCTTAATATAAAAATAATCAAATTTTTAACTGTAACTCCCCCATACTAGTGAATTGACTTTCCGTTTTCTTTTATTCGCTAAATGCCCTGAAGAAGAACGGTTTCTCCGTCCCAAATATCGGGAAACTTCAAGTCGCTTTTGTGTTTGCTGTGTTGTTGTTATTGTTGAATTTTTTTTGGATAAAATAGCAAGATTTGGATGTCATTATTTTATATCAAAAGGTTTAAATAATACTCTAGGCAAACTAAGCTTTCTTCACGGAATCGTGTAATATCCGAGTGCATTGCCGTTACCTACCTCGTTTCCCGGCCGGAAAAAAACAAAAACAAAACAAAACAAACAAACAAACAAACAAAACCAAGACTTCCCTCGTCCCTCCATGAGTATGACCAACTTTCCGCTGCCCGCCCGCCTTTTACCATCCCGTATCCCGCCTTCAAATTTTCTTTTATCCCGCATGCCCGCAACGAAAAAAGGCTTATCTCACCTCCTGCGGCCAAACCTGTTAGGCCCTCATCATACACATCATAACCCAATTGTCATTTAAAGTAACAATTTTCTTGTTTCGTTTCTTTACCTATTCATTCATAACCGTTCACAGGACGCTTTTTGGTAACCCCTTCGGGATATTACCATCAAAGGTGATCGAGAAAATGTCTGCCAATACAAAAGTGTAAGTATGCTTTTTTCTGCAAGCATTTTTTTACAACCCTTCTTTATGGGGCTTTGGGGAACAATGGGAGCAGAGCAATTTGATAGTCTGTATAAGCTGTATTTATGATAAAATGTTTTACAATACTGAATCCTTTAGATAGAACGACAATGATGACGCCGAATGCTTGTTGGTGGCCTGGTCGACCAGGTCTCAGTCAGTTTCAAGAAAATGCAAGACGAGATCCCGTCATACTAAGGGCATGGTTAACGCAGGGTTTTCTGTCTTTTGCACTGGGCAATTAAATCAGTCAGAGATTTACCTGTTCTCCTTTCAAAACAGACACGCGCAATTGTAACAGATATATTTAACCTTGACACTACAAGCTAAGTTGAATGCATTCAAATTTGGGACAACTAATTGCATCATGAATGATTGCTTTTCCGATCTGATAACTTAATAAAATTAAAGCTGATTTTTCAGTGATAGCTTAAAGCCGTTCGGTTGTGGTACTAATTTTCCTTAGTCTTAATAGACCTTGTCACGGTTTTCGACGCCATTTTGACGAGTAGGCAAACGCGTGAGAAATTACAGTGATTGTATGAGAATCTAATGTCGAATAATTTCCGTAGAACGGCTGTTCTGAAAAAAATATGACTTGTAAACTAAAGCTTCACTCCTAAGAATTCTCCTGAAAAAATTTGAGGGCGTTACATGCACTTGAAGACCTAGAACCACTTTTTTAAATTTTCTATACATTTGTCTGTAAGAATGTCCCGGGAAAAATACAGACAAATATATGGAAAATCTGAAGCAAGCCTCTGGAGAAATTTAGAATAGGTACCCCCCCGAAATTTTTTAGGACAATCCTTTGCATTGCAGCTTTCGTTTACAATTGATATTTCTTTCAGAACAGCCGTTTTACGGTAATTATCCGACATTAGATTCTCATACAACCACTGTAATTTCTCACGCGTTTGCCTACTCGTCAAGATGGCGTCGAAAACCGTGACAAGGTCTATTGGTTAAACCACCTAGGGCCTACCATAAACATAAGTTACTTGTTCTACGCACAGGTTTCTATGCCAACATATCTTTGGCCTTGTGCATAAAGTGTTCCGCCGCCTATTGCCCTATTTGTTTGATGAGCAGTGAATAACGAGAGACATAAGCTTCCCAGTACGACAACATGCTGTGTTACAGTATGATTCTTTTTCCTCGCAAAGCGAGACGCGAAGCGCAGCGTGAAGTGAGTTTATAATCTCGTCACCCGCGGCGCGCGCGCGCGCAGTGCGTGGACCGGGTGTGGATTATAGCGAGCTGCAAAACTCGCAGCGCCAATTCTTGTGTATATCCGATGGCGTCCCGATGACGTCATAGAGTAGTTTGACGTCACGGCGCATTTTTTGTTTCTTGGCATCATCCAGGACTGAAAGCGATTTTTCATCATCACAATGACCAAAGTGCTTGGTTTTTTTGCGGTTTTAGGGGTTGGTAAGTGCTTTTTGCAATGAATTTCGAATGAAAAAGTACTTTTAAAAGCAAATGGAAGCAATTTTGGATAATTAGCCTTAAGGTATGAGCGAAAAATCGAGGTAACAAAACACGTTTTGCTCGAAGGCGAGTTTATACCGTATCGGCTTAGTTGGGCATCTGTTCTTGAAATGCGATGAAGTGCGTTTACGTTAGGTTTCCACCGTCCAAACAGCTTTCATTCTTCTGAAAAGTATCTCTGAATTCGGGTTCAGCAGGGCTCGAGTTCGATTCCGATTGGAACCTGTTTCTTTTTTTTTCCTCTTCTTTTCTTTCTTCTTTCTTTTTTTTCCTTTTCTTTTACCTTTAGTCTGCTTTTGAGTTATTGTAGTTTTGTTATATTTCTTTATATTGCTGAAGTTTCTTACATTTATAAATTTTCTTCCTTATTGCTTTATTTTCCTTTAAATTTCTTGCCGTTCTCCCGGAGTCCTTGGCGAGGTCCTGCAATTCACGTATTTCTAGTTGGGCAACAAATTACTCTTTCATTTGGGTGAAATTTGAACATTCAACATCTAAATTAACAAAACTGCAATGGCGTCGTTAGCCTGCGAATACAGCCGCCTCCCAACGCTCCACTTTTCTAGGGATATTTGCAGAGAGAGACGACCCAGTCCGGGACTGGTCTAGCCTGTCCACATTCGTTTTTCTTCCTTTTTTTCTTCTTTTTTCGACAATTTAACAGAGCCCGGTCAATAGATACCCGGCGGTTTTATTTCTATACGCGTTCGACGATCTCTGAAGAGAAACTAGAGGGTCTGTGAACAGGTTGCAACTGGTCAACGACTGCACCCGGCTAACTAGCCGAACAAGTAGTTTTTTTTTATTTATTTTTATTTTTGTAGCTTTTACTAAATAATAATAAATAATCTACTAGAAAAGTCATTGTTCGCGGAATAGATTCTTTCCTAGATAAAGGAGATGACTTTTGCTGCCGTTCGTTCGCATAAACAACAGACTTTTAGCTTTAAACTAAAAACTTAAACTAAACTGAGGACGATAGAGCGATTTTCGTATGACCTTGAAATGAAAACGTTCGAACAAAACGGAAACAACAGACGAAGGGAAATAGAGCGATTTGATTGGTTTGTCGAACGGATACAAACGTGGCGTGGCTTTTGGTTGGTTAAGCGAACGCTTTCTAGAACTTTCTAGAACTTTCTAGAAATCAATCGAAACTTCGCTTTGACGTCATACTGCAACACGATTGGTCAATCGAGCAATGCCTTCTCCATATTAAGGTTCTCTTTGGCGGAAAAGCGAGGACTCCATGTTTTGATCTCTTCATCCATAGGCTGATAAAACAAATAACGAACACTTACCGCAACCATTTTTCAAGGTCATGTGAAGATCGCTCTAATAGACAGGAGAAACGAAAACTCGTAAAAAATTAAATCTGGAACCCCATGACTACCAGATTTATTGCATCTGGAACCACACGACTACCAGATTTGTAATGTAAACATTTATTTACCTCATAAGTATGCACTTTTGGGCGATAAATCACAGACGTCTCCCGCTCGTAAAACGTTCCCAGTGTAGGGGAGGGATAGAGACAGCTGTACAGGGTGTTTCAAAAGTTCGTTCCGATTTTTATTCGCTTAATTTCACTGATTATTAAAAAAAACCTTTTGTAAAACTAAGTATGTTATTCATTATTCATTTAACAATGAATAACTAAAATATTATCAACCAGAATGTCCTCCTTTATGTTTACTGACATTTTCTAAGCGGTGAAGTATAGAATGTACGAGCTTCCAAAGCGTGTCTAAATTCGCATTTTTTCCAGGCGCAGCGTAGTCACTGTCTTAGCTCGTCTAGTGTTTTGGGGGCGTAGATATTTGCATGTTGTCTCGTCAACGACAATCCAGATGGTCTCTTGTTGGTTCACATCACGTGAGTTTGCCGGCCGGTCCTCCTTTGGTATAAAGTTTTCAAATCCTTCTGACATCATGCCTGCATGAAGTGTACACCACCTTTTTCTCTTCTAGGCTTTCCATTTTTTTGGTAACTTATCCCCATACCGTTGTGCTCGAAACTTTGATCGATATTGTGAAGTTCCATTTTTTTTTACCCTTCTGTTTTGTGGAATTATTATGCATATACTTACAGCTTTTTCGATAACATTTCTCACACAGTTTGTGAAAAAAACGGCCATCCACTCCTTGGTTTTCCTTCTAAGGTCTTTACTTTTGACCACTTGTTCAGTCATTGTTCAGTCAATAATTTGGCAATTTTCGTCAACTTAATGGCCAGAAGACCATGAAAATAGATGCCTAAGCTATAGCACAAACAGCGTAGGCCTACATTTTCGTGAAGGAATAGAGAAAATAGAAGAAAACGGCAAAAATACGAAAACAGAAAACCTACAAAATGGGCAGGAAAAGAATGGCGGGAAAATCCTGGCGAAAGTGTACATTTGGGGCAATAATTAAAATACAAATGATTTCTTCAAATTTTAGTTTGAAATTGCTTTGAACGGTTATTTAAATAAATTTCTTACTTGAATTAGTTTACATTTGCCTAAAGAAGCATTAAATGCTTTGCGCAAAATACAATTTACGATCGGAACAAACTTTTGAAACACCCTGTATTAGCAGGCTGTTGCAACTTTCAGTATATCTCAGTGCTAATAACTAAGATGGCACCTTGGTTGAATATTATTACTTATGAGGATGTCAGGGCATTAAACGTCGCTGTAGAAAACCTAAAGACATAATTGAGCACAATCTTTACTGCGAGAAGGATTCCAACTGGTATTTTGTCGAAAGATTCAGAAAATCGTAAGCTTTTTACGTATGCTTTCAACTTTCTAGTGCCGTGGTTGGTGTCGATACAATGATAAAACAAGTTAAAACTTTCTATTGTGGGCGAAATTTGTGAAACTTGATATCAACAGCTATTTATCACGATAAATGTGCAAGACGGCCAAAACGGTCGATACAAGAACCACAGATTTACCAGTTTATTAACAAAATAAGACAAGAATTCGAAATCGGGAAATTTAAATGAGATCGAGTAACACAAGTGTTGTCGATAACTATACATCTATGGGGAACTTGTAAGAATAACTTGACTTGCGTTGAGGGCTGATTCTCCTAGGGGGAACAACTAATCAACTGAACTTACTTAGCAAAGGCTGTCAATTTAGAGATCTCCATCACCTAACGCAGCAGATAAACACATGCAACCAGAGCCAGTGCCACCACACTTTCCACACCTGAGGCGATGAGTCCAAGCAAGAGTGTACCAGCTTTACCCAGCTCAAAAACCCAGCGAACTCGCAGAGCCACCATCTCAGACTGTTACCAGGGAGGGAAAAGTTCCCTTCCAACAAAGGAGCTACAGGGCAGGACGCATGAAGCAAGTCCCAATCAAATTCAAAAATTAAGCTGAACCATCTCCTCCTGATAGGATATTTAAACTGGCATTGAGAGACAATTGCCTGCATTTGTTGTTTGATATTTTTGCTTCCCCTTCACCTTCGTCTTACCTAAGGTCGACTCTTATTCTTTGTTTTTCTTTGTTTTTTGTTTTTTGTTTTTTAATACAAAAGGGGGGATGTCATAGTATGCAGTGAAGGCCCTCGACGTTTTGTTAGAACTCAATGTTGCGTTACAATTCAGGCTATTTTGACATTGGTTAGAACATTGCCATATAAGGGCATACAAGTTAAATCAGGCGCTTTTACATGTTTTTTAATGGAGCAACCTATTAAATGAGGTGCGGAAATAACTGTTTCTCGCTTCCATTTTACAACAGGTAAACCGTATACTCGTGAAATTAGGACTGAAATAAATTCATTTCGGTTTTGTCAAAATTCAAACAATTTTCCTCGCCTAAAGGCTCTGGGTATTAAGAAGAATATTGCTAAACGCAAGAGAAATTATTTTCCAATTTCACTCGTCACCATTTCATCATGATCACATATACAATTTTTTTTATCAAATATTCGTTTTATTGAGACTTTCTGATGAGTAAAAAAACTGTTTGTTGTTTTTCCAGTTTATATAAACCTTAGCGTGTTTGTAAATCCTTATTTCATAAACATTAAACCAAACTTAGAAGACCACGAAAAAAGAATTATTATAACAATTACGAGCCTACTTCTGGAGTATAACACCCAAAACTCAGGAATAGTATCGTCCATTGTTGCCCTTCCCCGACAACGTCCTTATTTCATAGTGTCAAACATCTGAACAAATATCTTTATAGCGCTGTGACATGTAAAAACTTACACCAGATACCGTCAGGGATCTACAATGCCCTCATGTAAGTAAACAATAACACTCATTTAAAGTTTATTTTGTTGTTTTTGTTGCCTGTTTGTTTGCTGCTTTGTTGTTGTCGTTTTTTTTCTTTTTTTACTAAATGCAGATTAATTTTTTGGGGAGTTTCTTGAATTGAATGACAAAGAAGTCTACTTCAAACTTTCTCACATGTGTTGCTGTTCATTTACGGCACAAACGTTTAGAGCGCAGAGAAACAAAACTATATACCTTTCTAAATTACTTTCTAATCCTTTTTGAAAACGGGTGTATGAAGTCTCCTGATGAGTGAGTGTAACAGCTCACGAAACAGCGTTGTAGAGACAATGTTGTAGCATTTTTTTCTCTTTAGCAACCACCTATATATTATTATTATATGCGAGAAACAACAACCACTGACCCTATACAGCCCAAATAATCATATAAGCAGAATAAATGTTTTGATAGAAAATCTCGCCCTGAGTGGGATTTGAACCGTCCCTGAATAATTCAGATTTACTGGACTGAGCGTCTCCCTCTCTGTCTCGTTCGCCACGATGTGTGATAAACAAACTTGTTATGTTTATTTCCTTAGTGAGTGTACTCCATCGTCATCCTTCTATGTAGTATTCGAAGACACTGGAGATTCAAAAACACATAGTCTTTTTCGCTCGGGTTTTTCATGTACTGGTTGCAGATCCAAAGAAGAACTTGTATCTTTTTGTTCGAATTGTACTTTTTGTATGGCTGGTTCTTATGCTGGTCCTGGAGGCAGATGTATTAAATGCCCTGCAGGTACTTTTTTTTCTAAAATAAGATAACATGAGGATATCTTAAGGGGTTAATGTACCCATTAATTTTGGTAATTGAACTGAGTGGAGTGCAATTTGTCTGAAATGATACGCGTGATTTCAAAATTGAACGAGCTCGCAGCACGAGATTTATTTGAAATCACAAGTATGATTTCGGCCAAAAATTACACGACACAAAGTTCAATTACCACTTTATCACATCCATTTTGAAATCGATTAGCTCTTTACAAATCTCTTTTATTAGTCGACATGGTATAGCGGGGTTTTAAACAAGCGGAACAGGAAACATGTATACATGCCATGTTATCTGCAAAACAGAATGACAGATGTCATTTAGAACTTAAACTGATTCAAGCGTAGCCAACGAAAAAAAATAGTCAAGTTCATTCATTCAAATGATCAAGCTGTTTTAAAATAAAGTTTAATCCTCGTCGTCTGACTCAGTCATATAAGGCCCTTCGCTTCTTCGTGTGGTTGTTCCTGAGACTTCTCTTTTTTGGGGGAGGGAAAAATTGAAAGTACAGCCGCTGTAATTATACGTTAAGTATACTTTACATGTACTTCTCGGAAAAAAGTACATTTGAAGTATACTTCGTTTGTACTTCAAGAAAAAATATATAAGAAGTATATTTGAAAAATTTTCTTCATTTATACTTCAAATATTTAAGTGTACTTTAATTATACTTCTTCAAACTTCAGTGCTTGTGAAAAATATTTTCCCAGCGAGAAAAGTGTACTTTAAGTATACTTTGAAACTTTTAAGACACATTCTGAGAATATATTAGAAGGCAGTGATCTTGATATCACTTCCAAACAAAAGTATACGCTAAAAGTAGCCAAAAGTATACTTCAACTTGAAAATACAATTTTAGCGTTCTTCTATTGAGGACATAATTGAGATCATGTAAACATTACTTCAAAGTGGTGAAATATATAGTAGGTTTCTAGATGCTCAAATGCACGCAGCACACATCAGCTAGTGTTCAGCTACTTTGTGAGAAGATCATCCGCCTAAATCTTCCATGTTTTCCGTAAGCGAAAGGCAAAGTCACCCAGCTTCTTCCTGGCCAATTTTCTTTAATGTCGTTCGTGGAATTTTAATTTGCATTTAGCTGTAAAAAAAAAATACTGGATGTAATTTAGGTCCACGTCGTTTTACCTCCTTTTACGAGAATCGAACCAAATAGAACGAGAACTGGGAGCAAAACCATCGGCCATCATCAGTCATCTTTACGTCCTTTACGTGAGGGATGCGTATAGGTGTTGAATTACCACTGACTTGCAGTAAGATCGGATCATATACGGGATCTTGTATGTAGATTTCTTAATCCGGTCATGTATGAACATTTACAGCATACCTCACTTCCATATATAGAGAATACTTCATGGAAAGTGCGGGCGTACGGTATTTACGCACGAGTTGTTGACGTATCAGAAATCGAACGAGTGAGCGCAGCGAACGAGTGAGATTGCTGATACAAAAACAACGAGTGCGTAAATACCGTACAAAGCACTTTCCATGTGGTATTGTGTTTATTATATATATACTGAGATTTTAATTCTTGTTTATCGTCTTTAATGACAGACCAAGACAAAACTCTGTTACATGAATTCAAGTTAAAAACTCATGCAAGGATTATAACATAAACTTGAATTTCTGCCAGAAATTTAACATTACAGCAAGCAAATAATGTTAAAATATTATTTCTAAACTTTAATCCGAGTCGGACTCCTCAATTCGGATTCTCTTCCACCTTTTTTCGGTGGTTTCGGTGACGGAACTCCTGGTTTGAATGGTCGGCGAGGTAGTAAGCGCATTAATGGAAATCGTAAATTGTCCTCCACTTATTACTGCTCCATCAAAAAAACTCATCGGGGTTTTACTAGTGCAAGTGCTCGCAGCAGCAGTTTCATTAGTTGCAGTAGTTACTTGTGTTTGCGACGATGCTCGGCTTAAGATGCCTGATATGTTTTTTTGTTGATTTAGGTTCAAGCTACTATAGTTTGTTATGCTTTGCACGTTCTTGTGCCCACTTAACTGCATTATATGCGTTGGCGGAATTTCACTGTCATTAAGTTTTTGAATCATGTGTTTACGAGCACTATGGTTCGTGAGTCGCTCGTTGTTGATGTTTGCTTTTGAAGCCATTGTTTTCATCAAAGTGTTTAATTTATTTACACCCATAGGTGCCGACTTGAACCAGTGTTTTTTGGAGCCGTCTGTTTTCGTGTGGTTTATTCCCAAGTAGAATGGCGAATCGTCAGCCATCATGTTTTCCGGTCGCTTTTCACGGTAAATTTTGTACGCCACGACAGGATCTCGTTCATCACCAGTTGAAAACATTTTCGGGGAAACTTTTCGAACGTTTGAGGCGTCTACTCCAGACCTTGTTTTTGTCTGTCTTTCATTGTAAACTAGATAGTCGTTACCTTGTGCGTCCTTACAAAGCTTTACATCTCCCCAGCACAAATCCCTATGCTCTTGACAACCACGCATTCCAAAATGAATGGTGTTGTTCAGCCAAACAGTATTCAACAATGATTCAGCAGAACAAACTCCAAGCAAATTGTTTTCGTGAAGTATATCGACTTCTTCGTCCGTGATAGCCACAGCGGCTTTGTCCTTGTTGCCTCGGCCTGCTTTCTTCAGCTCTTTTTGTTTAGCCTGTAAACACTTTCTAAACAATTCAAATTCTTTATCGTTAATGATACTCTTAGTATAATTATTTTTCTTCAAATGTCTTTCAATACTTGAAACAAGGCATCTTAAACTTGAAGGCTCATAATCCTCTCCGTCTTTACGTCTCACAGAACGAATAAACTCCGCAAGGTGCTTGTTTAATTCTGCGAGCTCTATGTCTTGCACTTCTCGCTCGTCGTTCTTTTCGTTTCTCAAAAACGTTTCCAGCAATTTCACATCTCGTTTCGTTTTCTCTTTCGTATTCCTGTTTTCGAGACTTTCCACGTAATCCTCGACTGAAGTATCGTGATCAACAAACCTTTTCTCGTTCATGTTTTTAAGCTTCAACACTTGCGAAAGATTTCTTTAACAAAGTGAAATGCTGCCAGCTGAATGAAAATCACCTTGTTACGGCTCACACGTCAAAAAACATGATACGCAGCACCTGATTGGGCGTATCGTTTTCCTCACACGTGGAAAAAGCAATACGCGCCATTTGATTGGCTGTCGGGTTCTTAGACCAGCTTGTGAACCAAATTTATTTCGCGCCTTTTCAATGGGTAAATCTCAGTACATATATAATAAATGGTTTTTGCGGGCGATACAGACTCAAAGCAAACGTCATTTCGACGACCTTGTCTTCAAGATATTTATATGCTTGAAATATTGCCTTTATCTTCACAATTCGAGTACAATATGACCGGCACGAGAAAAGAAAACAAAAGAAAGAGTACACCATCACTGAAATTTGGCGATAATAGTAAGTTATCGGTTCAATCGCTATCGATTCTCCTTTATCATCGAGTCATTTGCAAAAAGGACATGAATTAAGGCTCAAGTTTTACAAAGTGAAGGCTCATTTTTTTCGTTTGAAGTACCGTGTAAGTTCAAAAATATAAAAACCCAAGTTTTTCTTTTTTTATTTTGAGGCATTTTGTTCCAGTTTTTCAGTGCAAATGATAAGAACGTAATGGAGCAATTTACTTTGTAACCAAAGAAACAGATAAACAGATTTGACATATACTTGGGGCATTTAAGTTATTCCGTGTAATTATTAAGGTGGCTCGATATAGTTTTTCAAGGTCAATACCTCCCAAGTTTGAGCGTAAGCTACGTCGCCATATGCAAAGATTTGGAAAAATTGACGCCACAGTTGTATTAGATAGAGATGAAAATTTGTTATGATCAGGGTTGCAATGACATCGGAGTTGTAATAGCAACGAAATGACGCCATTACCTATTTTACTTGCAACAGTATTTCTAGGTACTGGGAACTGTTCTTCCAAAATCGTTTACTGGAGCTTTTTCCCACGATAGCCGCCTCGATGTTCGTGAAGTTTAAGCGAAATCTGTAAGAGCGTTATCGAGATATTTTGGGAAGAAGTTTTTATGGTTAGAAATACGGTAAAAAATGGACAATCTTGATGTTCGACTGTTATCTGTACTAAACGAAGCGCTTTTGACATGCAATTTCACCTCATAGTAGTTTCAAGCTTTTTAAAAACGTGTGTGAAAGATCATGGAGATACCTTCAGCCGATGGCTAGAAAGAAGGATTTGATTAGTATGTATCAAGGCGCTCTTTTTAGCAGTAATGTAAACATTTCGGTCTACTTTAACAAATTAGCGAATAATTGTTAAACCGCTCGATAAATTTTTTCGAAAATTTAAGACTCTTGAGACTAACCGTCCTTTTATATGACCTCTTAGTTTCAAGATTACTGATACACTGTAAGGCAGTAAAATAAGGGCTTGAATTCGATAATATTTTGTCAAGAGTTTTGTGTTTACAAGTGATAGCCTCTCATTATTCAGGGGTATTGTCTCCAAAATTCATATTTTCGTGCACAACAATAGCTAGCATTTTTGCATATGTCAAATGCATTTTTAGTTACTGCTGTTCACGTGAAAATGAAACCTTGAGACAATACCCCTGAATAATCAGAGACTCGATCTCACTTGTAAAGACAAAATTTCCGACAAAATATTAGCGAATTGTAGCCCTTATTTTACTGCCTTACAATATATCAATAATCTTGAAACTAAGAGGTCATATAAAAGGACAGTTTATCTCAAGAGTCTTAAATTTTCTAAAAAATTTATTGAGCGGTTTAACAATTATTCGCTAATTTGTTAAAGTAGACCGAAATGTTTACATTACCGCTATAAGAGCGCCTCGATACATAATAATCAAATTCTTCTTTCTAGCAATCGGCTGGAGGTATCTCCATGATCTTTCACACATGTTTTTAAAAAGCTTGAAACTACTATGAGGTGAAATTGCATGTCAAAAGCGCTTCGTTAAGTACAGATAACAGTCGAACATCAAGATTGTCCATTTTTTACCGTATTTCTAACCATAAAAACTTCTTCCCAAAATATCTCGATAACGCTCTCACAGATTTCGCTTAAACTTCACTAACATCGAGGCGGCTATTGTAGGAAAAAGCTCCAGTAAACGATTTTGGAAGAACAGTTCCCAGTGCCGAGAAATACTGTTGCAAGTAAAATAGGTAATGGCGTCATTTCGTTGCCACGATAACTACGATGTCATTGCAACCCTGATCATAACAAAGTTTCATCTTTATCTAATACAACTGTGGTGTTAATTTTTCCAAATGTTTGTTTATGGCGACGTAGTTTACGCTCAAACGTGAGAGGTATTCACTCAAAAAAACTGTATCGAGCCACCTTAATATAAGCAAAACATGAAAATGTGGTATTATGAACTCATGTAATTGGCCACTGTAGATAGGTTGAAGTACTAATTTTAAAACCAGGTCACAGTTGGTAAAACTTAAGGTATAAGATTAAGGATCACCATTGATTTCGAAATGGATGTAAAAATTCGCTTAATCAGTGTTTTGTTTCAGCTGTGAGGAAGTGACTGTGTCTGAGCAACTGAAAAGGAAAGGTCCCTTAATTACCACGTTCCCCCTAATTTCCGGCGTTCTTTAGGTCCAGAAAATATTTGTTGTGAACAGTCTAGCAAACTGTTCTTAAATTTTACAAACCTGGACTAAAACAATTCCATACGCTGATTGATTTTAGGAGGCTTTTACCAAAGCGAAATGGGAGAGGTCTCCTGCAAGAATTGTAGCACAGGCACTTACGTTTCAGAGGAACGTCATCCTGGCAAAACTCCGACTGACTGTCACGCATGTCCGTACGGTAAGAGCGAAGTTCCTTTAAAGGAAAGTTTCTTGGTATTGCGGGTGGCAGGGTTCGTACAGAGCCTTGAATTCTTGAAAAAAAGTCTTGAAATTTGCCAAGCAATTTTCCAGACCTGTAAAAAAGTTTGGAAAATGGAGAGGAAGTCTGGATAAATGGTAAAAAGTTTTTGAGGTTAGGGTTTCTCAAAGCTACCAACGAGTGCTTGATAAGTAATTTTCTTTTTTGTTTTGGTCAAATCTTATTCAATCTCGCCCGTACGTTTGCAGCGCATCACGAAAAAACCTTTAAGTTTGCTTCCTAAGTTTTCTTTAAGGTCTCCTTTGATCACCTATTTGATAACGGTGTGTCTGGAAAAAGAAATCATTGTTTTGGAAAAAAGTCTTGAAGAAGCCTTGAATTTTGGATTCAAAAATATGTACGAACCCTAAAGGTGAAGCTATCACTAAATGAGCAATATCCACACCAAAACACAATACCTAACCAACAAAACATACACTGTTATACTTTCGCACATCTCTCAGGTCTCTTATTGTGATTACGTAACGTACTCAATTACTATGATGACGGCTCAAACTAACCCAGTAAATCGGGCCAATCAATAGCGCGAAAATCCAATTCTAGACATAGGAAAATTGGACTGAGGGATTTTAATCAAACAAGCCCAAAAACGAAAAACTAATGGAAATTAATTCTAATAAAAGTTCTCACGCTTTGAATTGCGATTCAACTTTGGTGTTTCTAGACCGGTTTAAACTTCGACGACGAAATTGCCGAGCCAACAATTAAGTTCATCCCTGTCAGTGATATTCAAAATCTCAGGATTGACTTGGAGAATTGTCTCACTGTCTCCAATGATTTGGACCATCAAATCGTTGCCTTCCTCCATCCATTCAGACCAGACACGGTTGACACGGACTGTCCACGATACGTTTATTCGTGTATTTGCGGTATTCGAGATGCCTTGTTCTTTTCTCAAGTTCTTCATCGTCAACGATAGCAATCATTCCATGGTCTGCCGAAGTTTCCCGTGGGGTCTGTCTGTTTCCCATGCTAAAGTAAGGTTCCAATACTTCTTGCGAAAAACAACATTGTGTCAGAAAAGAAAAGCTCTTCGTCGCTGTCCATGAACTCCATGATAACATGAAAGCATGGACTGACGTACTGAATAATCGAACTCGCCCATAAAATGGTCAAAACAACTGAACAAAGAAACCAAAAAATACAAAGCAAACTCCCTTGAGGACGCCACAAAAATCTCACAATTTTGTAACTTTCATTGTTTTTTTATTTAATTCGAGGAAGGTCTGAGCTTGCAAGAGGCTAGACGAGTGCTTTGTTCTCTTAAACAAAAGGTCTTTATTACTGAATTATGGCATAATATCATGAAATAAGTCAGATAAATGCCGAGAACGGACAGTATTAATCCATACACATCCCGACTGGGACGTATATGGATTAATATCAACGTTCTCGGTTTTTATCTCTTACATAAATAACACAGGAAATATACCTCAGGTGAAATTTTCTAACAATTCTGCTATTAGCATCGACAATAAGACATCTGATTTGTGACGTCTAGCCGACTTTGTGCTATTTTGGTTTAAAAAATGAATTTTGGTCAAATACCAAATAAAAGTAGAGTCCGATGTCTAATTTTTATTACGTCATCACTAATAAAGTGTGAGATTGCCCAAATATTTTATGATTGATTTGACAGTCTTAGACCCTGTTTACATGGATTGGGGGACCCCGGTCTAGTGGGGTAAGTTTCTTTTGTTTTGTGTCCCCCAGAGCGTGAAAACAAAAGAAACCAACCCCACTAGACCGGGGTCCCCCACTCCATGTAAACAGGCCCTACAAGATGTCTTGCAAAGACTATGTGAAGAAATTAATTATGTACAAAGATTGCCGCTCATTGGAGATATTAGCCACTTTGGGATTTTGCAGGGAATAGACAACAAACTAATTGAAACATAGTACACAAATAATCACCTTCTTATCTGCAAAAAAAAAAAACCGCGACCTAAATGGTTCAAAGCCAAGAGCTCGCTGAAACTAGACCTAGATCCAATTTTCCTATGTCTAGAATTGGTTTTTCAAGGCACAATCAGCTAAGCTAAACACCGACGAAACGTTTTTGTGGCTGGCACAGAATATTTTGGAGCAACAGCTCAAACGCGCGACCACATACCTGAGTTCTGCCTGTCAACACCATGGGGAAATCACACAATCACACACTTTCGCGGCACTGATACGACTATCCACAACCACGTATTATCTTCTCACGTTCAACGCAAGTGAGATATCGTCAAAAAAACTCAGCTTATTGACAGATATATTCACACCAGAAAAAAAAACTACCGTAAAATTCCGAAAGTAAGCCCAAGGGCTTATATTTTTCAAAGGCCCTTTTGAGGGGCTTATTTTTGGAGGGGCTTGTCTAAGGAGGGAAATTTGCGTTTCAAGATCGATTGGGCTAACCTTATAGTTGGAAGTAAATTTACCGTTCATGCTTTGTTTTACTTTGTATTTTAGGGCAATTTTCCAAGTACAAGCCCCTGGGGGGCTTGTATTTAGAGGGGCGATTTAACGGAGGGTTTTTTGTGTTACCAGTCTGGGGGACTTTGGAGGGGCTTATATATGGAGGGGCTTATTTTCTCTTGGCTCGGGTCGAAGTTCACCGGCAATTTTGCTCTCGCCTAATTAATTTGACTCCTAAAAGCCTGTTACCGAGGCCAAAGACTTAGTGGTCACCTTCGGCCCGGTTCAAAAGGCGAACTTCACATGTGCCGAAATTGAGGTGTTTCAATACAGTTTTTCAGAGGCCATACCTATATTTTTCAATCGCCTTAAAAGTCTTTTTTTTCCTTGTCCGATCGGTATAAAATTTTCATCATTATTTGGCTATTGACTGAAATTTGTGAAAATGTAGTTTTAAGTAAAATCGATATTACTATGACAACAATAAACAAAAAACTTTGAACAAAACACTTTAAATTTTTACAAATTTCAGTCTATCGTGAATCATTGGTGAAAATTTTAAAGCGATCAGACAAGGATAAAAACATTTTTAAGGCGATTGAAAAATATCAGTATGGCCTCTGAAAAAACTATATCGAAACGCCTTAATAGGGACCTTAGGCAGCCAGGACGAGTTTGTGGACGACGACGAGAGAAGACGAGTGAGGTCTGGGTCGAGAACTTCTTCCAAAGCGGAAAAAACAGATGTTTAAGCAAGTTCCCGTCTCGGCTCGTCGCCGAAATGGGTAGACTGCACCGAATGGCTTCTTTGAAATACGAGAGTTGCTTCTTTTTAGCGTGAGAACAACACAATTAACGAGGAAGAATATTTCCTGCTCTCCGAAGGATTTAAATCGGTAAACCGTTTATCAAATGAAAAGGCTTGAATCGAATCAAACAGAACAGAGCTGGTTTTGTTGTCCTATACATTTTACAGGAGTTAATTTAATCTATTTAGGTCGACCCAAACTATTAAGTTCGACTGTTGATTCAGACGGTCGAACTTTACATGTGCCGAACCTAATTCGTGGCGAAAAGGAATGTCATCTTTACTGCTTAAAATAGGGAAATAAACTGAAAAAAGTAAAATTCACCAAGCCTGGAAATTCTTGCTTTTAGTGTGATTTGTGTTCTGTTATGGCAAGAAGACAACTGGGGAGATCGTGATCGTGATATTTGAATAAAATAAAGTAACGCCATGAAGTTTAAAATACAGTGAGATTTCTTTATGGATGTAACGAAAGGCAACTTTTTAGAAGACCGTTTTAAGCTGTCTAGTTTCAGTCTAAAAATCTGCGAGGTAATTGCTGGTAACTGTCGTTACGCTTCTGTGAGTTCTGTCCGCACAGGCGTGAAAACCCACTAAATAGCCAATCCGAAGCGCGGTTATATTGAAAAATACGTTAACATAATTTATGCATTTTGTTCAGCACATGTGAAAACGATATATGAATCGAAGTCGATCTTTTGACGTTGTATTCGACAAGCTCAGTCCAATCGAACGGCAAAGTCGACCCACAAACAAAAGTATCGCTCCTAATTGATTCGTATTCTTTACATGTGCCGAACCTAACCATTAGGTTCAGCACATGCTTGAATCGAACGAAATCGTACCTTTCTGTCTCAGCCCGGATCAGCGTGATTGACAAAACAAGACTACAATACGATATGGGAAGATGCGGACTCTGCGAATCGTATTAACTTTGTCCCATCTCGGAGTTTTACATAATGTTCTGCGGGAAACTTTTCTCAAGGTGACCAATAACGAAATGTAAACTGCTTAACGGCACAGAACCAGCTTTAGGCGCGCACCAAGAGAGGATAAAGGGGACAGAGAAGGCATCCCCCATACACACCCTATTCCATAGGTAATTCGTCTCGAGTTATTTTTAAGACCATACATCCCAAGGGGGATTAGACAACAGCCAATCACATAGCGCGAATGTGTACCGCGTGGATGACCCACGCTCAGAGCCACGCGTCCTTCACGAATTGACGCAGAAAAAATTGGCGGAAGACGTGGAGAGCGATACTGCTATTTGTTTTGTCGACGAAAACGACTTAAGATAGAGTTCTGCTTAAGCTGTGTCAGCGAAACGGAAATTAAAAAAGAATCGCCCTTCCTCTCTTGTATAGAGCTAACAGTACAGCAGGGAAATCCTTCATACACTGAATATTCTCTCAGAATCATTTATAATTTACAGTTTGAAGAGAGCAATTTATGGTTTGATATTTATTCTTGTATTAGTCTTTTATTATTCAACAAAAATAACACTTGGCGTCCTACTTGCTTCATTAGGCTGATTTAGCAACAGAACGGGAACGTCATTTGACGACGGGGAAGGTGCGGAAAGCACTAAACTCGACTTCCGGTACTCAATTTGCCGCTCTGCCATTGGTCAAGCCAGTAGTTTGATTTGCGTGCGCAGTCGTCAACAGACGTCCCCGTTCTGTTGCTAAATCAGCCTATTATACAAACGACAGGTTTCAATAGACCGGCGAAATTTCTCATTTTAGCACTGAGGTTACGACATCTTCGATTTCACGGGTTGTCAAAGAGTGCAGCGATTCCCTTTTCCCAGGTGAGCGCCGACTCATTTCGCTTCAATATTCAGGAACGCTCTCGATCTCTTCACGCTTTCATTGCCTTTCGCCCGACATGTTTTGCACGGCGTTTAGTCATGCGAAACCTCTACGAAACACCCACGCAGCGCGCGAGGTAACTTTATCCCGATTCTAAAAATAACTCGAGACGAATTACCTATGGAATAGGGTGTGTATGGGGGATGCCTTCTCTGTCCCCTTTATCCTCTCTTGCGCGCACTGGTTACAAATAACTGTCACTTGTGTTAGACAGGGAATTGTGGGTAGGGACGGGAAAAAAGTAAAAGAGGGAGGGAGAGAGGGGGAGGGGTTAGGTAGAAATTCGTGAAAATCTGTGTACAGCCACTTCTACACAAATCCCTAACCGCAAAGCGGCCAAAAAAAGGACATAAGCAAACAACACAGTAAACAAGCTAAGACAGGGGAAGTTGAGAGAAGTTACAAAATGTTTGCTAACCCTGTTTTCATAAATTCAGGTAGATATATAGATTTAAGCTAAAACAGTTGAATATATACAACAATTACTTGCACCATTTTGAACTGTTATTGAAATGTTGCATGTTCCGTGGTGAAGCTTGTTTCAAATTTCTCAGCACTAAATCGTTTTACTTGTATATGGGTAGGTACACTCTCCAATGAAACTGCTGGTCATCGCGCATGCAAATGCCTTCCTGGATTTTACCGCATGGATCGTTTTGGCTCCTGCTCTGAATGCCCTGCTCACGGTATAAAGTGTGTCAACGATACAGCAATTCTAGCACCAAATTATTATTGGAAATGGCCAAGTGAAAAGGAAAAAAGGTTTTATAGCAACTTCGTTAAAAATATTTACACACTGGAGCCTCCATACGACAAAACTTTCTCCAGGTTTCAGGGAACGCTACCCCAGCCCCAAAAATGTCCATATCCTAAATCCTGTAATGGCGGAGTTGACTCGTCCTGTCAAGACAAATTCAAAGGAATTTTATGTGCCTCATGCTCTATCAACCACTACCTCCGATTTAACACGTGCCTGGAATGCCCAAGAATGGTTAACACAATCATATCATGCGTAGTCGTAGTTCTGGTATTTGTTGCGGTGTTTTTAGTGGTTCTTTGGGGTGACTCGAAACGCACAGAAAACAATCGTACGGTTGCAGATGTCGTTATGTCTTGTTGCAAAATTGTTATTGGATTTTATCAAGTCACTGCTGGAATTTTTTCTGCGCTTGTGTATGTTCGATGGCCTGTTATTCTAATCTCCATGGAAAAATATTTGAACTTTGTTGAGGGTAACATACTGAAGTTCGCACCTTTAAGCTGCATTTACTCTAAATTGCGTCCAGATCCATTCCTACAATTTTCTCTCGCTGTTGGCATAAACATATTTGTTGTTTCCCTTATTCTTCTCTACCTCTTCCTGAAGAAACGCTACATAAACAATACGGAGGATTCAATGAGCGAAAAGATGATCCAAATATCGAGGCTTAAAAAGTCTTGCTACCGTAACATATTCTTATTTCTTCTGTTGTCTTACCCAGTGACGAGCAAGAAGATCATTGACATTCTGCCGTTGCCTGGTGTATGTGTCAACATGTGCTTCAGTAAAAGCGATTGTATCTCCCTACTGAGGGCTGATTACTCCATCCACTGCTATACGCCTCGGCACAAGATCTTCTGGAAAATTGCTGCAGTGTTTGCCTTTTATCCTATTGCATTTCCGTTAATGCTACTGCTTCCCATTTATAAATATCGACAGGCGGAAACGGAGAAAGAAATTGCCTTCGGCTTGAGGGTGTTTTTTGAAAATTACAAGGAGAAATACTGGTTTTGGGAAACACTTGAAATGTACCGCAAACTTCTCCTTATCTCCTTGATTCTTCTTTTTGGGTCAGAAAGCCACTCTCAGATTGGTTTCGCTTTGGTCATAACAAGTGCCTCGGGGATAGCCTACACCCTTTTCAGGCCCATCAAAGGAAAGTTTGAAGATCGTCTCCAAACGTGTGTGCTTTGGATAACATTTTTCAACGTTTGCCTTGGTTCTTTATATGGTCAGTCTGATGGAAGGAAAAAGCACGTGGAAAACGACTCCATTTTCATCAATGTTTTGTTCCTTCTCCTTAACAGCTCCGTCTTGATCGTGGCTGCAGGTGAGTTCTGCCTTTCAGAGACTCCTTAGTGTAACTAGTGAAATTTTTCGATATTTCTTAGAGGTATTCCTATGAATGTTGAATGATCAGTCCCGTGAAAAAAAAAAAGAAAGAAGGATACGTATGCGTCAAAATACACTATTTCAAAGTAGGGAATGGTACGTGCGTTTAAATGTTTACCTTTGGAATGTGCTATTGCATTTAATATCCGTCCTCCCCGGTTGTGGTTCTACCTTTTCTTCTTACGCGAGAAGATTAAATAAAGTTGCATTTACCCCTGAAGACTTCCATAAAATATTGGTTTATCCCTTAAGAATAAGGGTCCTACCCCGTCCTACCGGGCGGGGGCTGGAGGAGGGGGACGGGTATAAAATGTAATAGCCCAATTGTGGTTGCAGATGAATGTCACCAAAGTGGAGAAGTTTTTACGATTCACTGAACTATGGCGACGAGTTTAATCGGGGGAAAGGGGTTTGGCAGAGCCACGTTCTTTTTTTTTTTTTTTTTAACCAAGTTTAAAGTGTCAGCGCAGAATCAGCGCAGTATCTTTGATAACTACAACCAGAGTGAAATATAAAAACGTTCTTAGCGTTAAACAATGATGTAAATATTATTATCCCCATATATAACGAACTGAACACAACACAGCACTTTGGAAATTCGAAATAGTTCTTAAGGGCGCCCAGAACGGCTGGTAATTGAGTCTGTTACTCTGTGTAATGAAATTGTTCTTTTAGCATAACATGTATAAACGATGTCAGATTTCCCCACAGTTCCCAATTCCTAATAGCCCACTTCTGAGTGATAGCCTGGGACCAAAACTAAGTGCGCGCGTATTTATGGGATTGTTTGGGGGGACAAAATGAGCAGCCACCTTGTGTCATGACGGGGCATGCAAGTTGTTGTGTCCCTTCGTGCACAAGTAACTTCAGGAACTCCACTGGTCTGGCATTCTATAGAATACCAAAGACAACTGACGTATCCAGCGAGAATATGTACTTTTGTTTCGGAACGCTAATTTGAAGTACACGGATTTGCATTCCTCTAGTTTTTCTCCAAGTAAGATCTCCCAGGCACATCTTCCTTCAGTTTGACATTTTAATGTTTTTTTTTTCTTTCAATTGCACCTTTTTTTTTCTTATTTTAATTTGTTTTAACTCCGCTTAAACATTCCACCCCACTTTCCACCATGTTTGTTTACATTTCCGTCCCCCCAAATAATGCCATAAATGCGCGCACGCCTAGTTCGGGTCCCAGGCTATCAGTCTTTTCCGAAGTGAGCTATGTTCTGCAAACCAACTATAATCCAGCTGATGTTTGTTGTCTATTCAACTGTAAGTTACCCGAATTGAACGTTCTCAATATCCCCCGTAGCATTTCTTAGCATGATTTTTCTCCAAAGGGCTCCTTCAAAGGAAACGAAGGGTTCTGGGAAAGACAAGTCTAAAGTCTATGACGTATTTCCGTTTCCGGTACCTGACCCATTCTAACAAAAATCGAGTTTCTTTCCGTGCCCAGGCTTCTCGCGCACTGACTTTATGTTACATTCTCCTGAAGTGGAACGTAATTGTAATTGCTGCATGAGTTAAAAGCTTTGCTACAAATTGAAGCAACTAGGGAAGCCAGTGTGTTATTGTTGCCATGGTGTCAGCTTCTGAAGTTTTAAGAAAATTCGAGCCTCTGGCTTGGTGTAATCACCATCATCATAAGGACCATCACCATCACAAGCTGATTCGGGGTAATAAATCAAACACGACACCCAGTAATTTATCCGATTTCCAGATAACGAAAAGTGGGTTGAAAAACGAAGTGTAACCAAGATTTGAACGTTTTCAAAAAATTGTAAAAAAATCGGCTTTTGTTCAAATCGCAAAATTTTTTCGCAGAAGTTATTTTAATAAGGTATAGTTTCAGATAAGAAAATAAAAAATTTTTGGTGATGGGCACTTTAACGACTTCTGTAGTCTCCCTCGCAGGCGTTTCTGCCTTGTCTTTGCCTGGGAAGAGCATTGCGGGAGATTTGTGTTGTGCGAATTAAACAAAGAAAAAATCACCTTAATTTTGGGAACAGGGGTCTTTTTTGCGTAAGCATGCGCGACCGCGACTTGATAAAGAGCACACAACCAGTGACAGCCACCGTGGTGAATAGTCATAGGAACCAAATTCTTCACTTTAAAAGCTTGCTTGAGATTCAAATGGTAGCAGGAACGTAGGAGAGATCTTCGTTGTACAAAATAAGTAAAGATCTGATGATTTAAAGTGGAGACGAATGCGTTGAACAAGGTGAAAGAGCAAGTTTCTCAAGGATGTCTGACACGAACATGGCTGCTTGTTGTCGTTCGGCGCTCGACTCGTGTCTTGATTCCCCTTGAAGAACCTTAACGTTTGGCATAGAATGCATTGCTGATGGGTAGATATCAAGCAAAATATTCTTTATTTAGTGTTTGTCTATAAATCGGATGTAAATTGTTTCACGATGCCGTAGAGGATTTTTGTCAATAATTTGTGGATAACTGATTTAGCCATATTTCAGGAGTGGGTTGATAACGATCAGCAGGCGACTACCACGCCGCGTGGGGTAATTTTCACTCGCGCTCGCGTTTCCCTCGCTCTACTATCCATGAGGAAAAATGGGGAGTACTCGTAGACTATCCTCGGTACTTCGCTCCTCGTTGACGCGGCTTCGCCGCGAACCATCAGTATCAATGAGAAAAAAATATCCTCTGGAACCCAGGGTACACATTTTGTTAAATCACGAGCACATTCGCCAAGACCAAAGAGCAAAATAATCTCGATAATAGCTTTGAGACGCGCCATCTTTATGAAGGCAGACCCTGTGGTGAGCCTCCATGCAAATCGCTTGTTCAGCGGTCGCGCATGCTCATGCAAAAAAGACCCTGTTGGTAAAAACTAGGTACGTGTAAGTGTACTGCTACCGCGGTGGGCAGTCCGGTTAAAAGTCTCCAAATATTCTAAAATTACAATGGCTGCTTCGTACTAAACAGCTTTGTTGGGATTCATGGATTAAAGAACGAGGTATATTACATGACTGTAAAGTGTTGTTGTTTGGGTCCATGAGCTTTAAAGAACATCGATTACATGTGGATTCGCCCGACATGGATTTGTCGGCGAAAAAGGAGTGAGCGTCAAGGTGACAGTAGCAGCATATGTGGATCAACAGCATTTTCCAGTTATGACTTCATACAAAATATATTCAAGATCGACGTGGCAATCGTCGAGATTACTAAGATCGTTCAGAACGCTGGACCTATTTTAGCAATTGCAACAATATAATCCAGGCAAAAAGCATCTTTGAAGAAAGGGGGTTCGAAGAGCCCTCTATCCTAACTTTGAAGCTTTCTTTGTTTGTTTGTTTTTGTGTTTTTTATTATATAACTGGATTTTTGAAAACCGAGTTAGCAAAAAAAATCAACTCATTCTACTACTTGCCAATTTAAAACAATAAAAAATCATTCAAAGGCCAATTAAAAGCCTTTCTCTGACGCCAGGCAGTAAGTTAGAGGTCCCTAGAAGCATTTCAACGAGTCCAAATTTAAAATGACGCACATTTTAGAACATTTACTGAGTAATCTGACGCCGTGAAGTTTCAAACCGGTGTCACTTCAGTCTCGAAATTTTATAACTTGAATGGTGAACTACAGCCAAAAAGTACATGGTTAAGGCTCACATACCAACTTAAATAGTTATCAAAACACCACTATTTTCGCGGTCCGATAATCGACAGGATTTCGCATAGAATAGACAACAAACTAATTGAAACAAATAGTACAAAATTATCACCTTATCTGCAAAAACCGACCTAAATGGTTCAAAGCCAAGAGCTCGCTGAAACTAGACTTAGATCCAATTTTCCTGTGTCTAGAATTGGTTTTGCAAGGTACAATCAGCTAAGCTAAACACCGACGAAATGTTTTTGTGGCTGGCACAGAATATTTTGGTGCCGACAGCTCAACCACGCGACCACACACCTGAGTTCTGCCTGTCAACACCATGCGGAAATCACACAATCACACACTTTCGCGGCACTGATACGACTATCCACAACCACGTATAATCTTCTCACGTTCAACGCAAGTCAAATATCATTAAAAAAAAAAAAACTCGGAAAAACTCAGCCTATTGGCAGATAAACACCTCTTGACTTTTCTCTTACACTCGTCTTATTCAAGTTTCCGGATGTACAGTCACACGGTCGGCAGACCAGCATAGACCCTCTTTCCACACCAAAAAAAAAAAAAAACTAACTCTCGATATTGGAAGATGCAGACTCCGCGAATCGTATTAACTTTAACCCATCTCAGAGCTTTACATGATGTCCTCCAAGAAACTTTTCTCAAGGTGACCAATAACGAAATGTGAACTGCTTAACCGCAAAGAACCAGCTTTTTCATAGGCGCGCACTGATTTTAAATAACTGTCACTTGTGTTAGACAGAGAATTGTGGGTAGGGACGAGAAAAAAGTGCAAAAAGGGAGGGAGGGAGAGTGGGTTGGGTAGAAATTCGCGAAAATCTGGCTACAGCCACTCCTACAAAAATCCCTAACCACAAAACAACCAAAAAAAATGACAAGTAAACAACACAGTAAACAAGCTAAGACAGCGGAAGCTGAGAGAAATTACAAAATGTTTGCTAGCCCTGTTTTCATAAATCCAGGCAGATATATAGATTTAAGTTAAAACAGTTAAATAAATACAATAGTTACGTAAACCATTTTAAACTATGTTATTGAGATTTTGCTTGTTCAGTGGTTTGAAGCTCAGTGTTTCAAATTTCTCAGTACTAAATCGTTTTACTTGTATATGGGTAGGTACACTTTCCAATGAAACTGCTGGTCATCGCGCATGCAAATGCCTTCGCGGATTTTACCGCATGGATCGTTTTGGCCCCTGCTCTGAATGCCCTGCTCACGGTCTAAAGTGTGTCAACGATACAGCAATTCTAGCACCAAATTATTATTGGAAATGGCCAAGCGAAAAGGAAAAACGGTTCTATAGAAACTTCCTTGAAAATATTTACACACTGGAGCCTCCATACGACAAAAGATTCTCCAGCTTTCAGGGAACGTTACCCCAGCCCCAAAAATGTCCATATCCTAGATCCTGTAATGGCGGAGTTGATTCATCCTGTCAAGACAAATTCAAAGGAATTTTATGTGCCTCATGCTCTATCAACCACTACCTCCGATTTAACACGTGCCTGGAATGCCCAAGAATGGTTAACACAGTCATATCATGCGTAGTCGTAATTCTGGTATTTGTTGCGGTGTTTTTAGTGGTTCTTTGGGGTGACTCGAAACGCACAGAAAACAATCGTACGGTTGCAGATGTCGTTATGTCTTGTTGCAAAATTGTTATTGGATTTTATCAAGTCATTGCTGGAATTTTTTCTGCGCTTGTGTATGTTCGATGGCCTGTTATTCTAAACTCCATGGAAAAATATTTGAACTTAGTTGAGGGTAACATACTGAAGTTCGCACCTTTAAGCTGCATTTACTCTAAATTGCGTCCAGATCCATTCCTACAATTTTCTCTCGCTGTTGGCATAAACATATTTGTTGTTTCCCTTATTCTTCTCTACCTCTTCCTGAAGAAACGCTACATAAACAATATGGAGGATTCAATGAGCGAAAAGATGATCCAAATATCGAGGCTGAAAAAGTCTTGCTACCGCAACATCTTCTTATTTCTTCTGTTGTCTTACCCAGTGACAAGCAAGAAGATCGTTGACATTCTGCCCTTGCCTGGTGTATGTGTCAACGTGTGCTTCAGTAAAAGCGATTGTATCTCCCTACTGAGGGCTGATTACTCCATCCACTGCTTTACGCCTCGGCACAAGATCTTCTGGAAAATTGCTGCAGTATTTGTCTTTTATCCTATTGCATTTCCGTTAATGCTGCTGCTTCCCATTTTTAAATACCGACAGGCGGAAACGGAGAAAGAAATTGCCTTCGGCTTGAGGGTGTTTTTTGAAAATTACAAGGAGAAATACTGGTTTTGGGAAACACTTGAAATGTACCGCAAACTTCTCCTTATCTCCTTGATTCTTCTTTTTGGGTCAGAAAGCCACTCT